TCCCCCCCCAAACCCTTTCTCCAGTTCCCCTTCCCATTTTTTTTTTTTTTTTTTTTATGCTGGATCTGGACCACATGATTTGCTTCAGCCAATGGAATGATGGCAAATAGAATGCAAGGGAAGGCCTGTAAAATGTCTAAGTATGTAGACTTGTCTTTTTTAATTGGAGGGAGCTATTCTACTATCAGGTAAAGATCCCAAGGAAGTTAACGGCCTGGAAAAGAGAGGCTCTGCCCATCTTAGCACTTGCAATTGCCTAGCTGATCCCCATCCTTGCTCCAGCCAGGCCAGCCCATATCGGCTCAGATGAACATTCCAGTCAACCTGTAGAGTCCTAAGAGAGAACCCTTCTTCTGTTATTTGAAGCTGCTAAATTGGACTTGGAGTAGTTTATTTGTTGTTTTTGTTTGTTTGTTTATTTGTTGAGACAGGAGCTAACTATGTAGGCTGGGCTTGCCTCAAGCTCATGATCCTTCTGCTTCAGCTTCCAGAATGTTAAGATTGCATGGAGTAGTTCCCTCTAAAATGTTGGAATTATGCCGCAATAGCTATCCTAAAATATGTTATCTATAAGCAGCCATTGATAACTTATTTTACTAGTAGGTGGCTTCCTTCAAATCCTTAACTTCTTACAAATTAGCCACGTGACTAATCATTTCTATGGGGTAGCAATCACCTAGGAAAATCTTCACTATCTTGAAGCCTCTATCACACACTGATCCAGTACAGCATCCAGCAAAACCCTTCCCGGGGATTTCTGTTTCATAAGGTCAAAGGGCAGAACAGGATTTCAGGCTGGACCACATCTTTCTGGGGAGAAATCCTCTCTGTTTTAATGCCCGATGGAGAAGTTTCGATATATGTAACAGAAGGTAAACCTAATTGACAATGTTGAAAAACCGGGAGGGAGTGTGGCTCAGAGTAGAAAACTCACCTCAGCTACAATAATTGCAAAGACAACAATGATAATAAGAACAAACTGTTCCTGAGAATATTTCTGTGGTAATCTGACATCCCAGTGACATCAAAGGGCTCAAGGAAAGAAGACAATCCTCATCATTGCAATGAGCCAAGAGCTGGTGTTCATAGATGCTATATTCTATGGTAAAACTTCCCTTTTATAGTTTCAGGGCAGTAGAGCTTTGTGGACCAGTTCTAGCATAGGGGCCACTGAATTGACTGGCATGACCTGGAAGTAGTCACTGGGAATCCAGCATCATTAGTCCTGGGTGGGCTTGGCTACATTTAACTCCAAGGATAAACCTTTGGCAGAAAGAATTACACTCCTTTTATAGATAAGGAAACAGGCTTATAATAAAACTGAAGATACTCATGAAAAAAGAAAAAAGAGATACTTATGGATGTCCACACAGCTCAGACTTTGCATAGTGGGATTTATATCTGAGGTCTATATATTCCCACCACACTTCGTTGTTATCTATCTGCCTTCTAGCAACACTGATTCTGGCCAAAGTTATCCTCCCTTTTCTAAGGCATTAATGATACATCCTTAATGAACATTACAAAGAAAACTCCATTAAAAAAAAGACTGCAAAATAGTCTGTTACAGTTAGACCATGACAAGTTAGAGAATTCCAAATAATTGAATCCTAATGAAGGTACCAATGAGCAGTGCCCAAGCAACTTTGCCGTGGTCAGTTTAGGGAATGGAAAACTGCCATGGACAGAAAGGTACTTGCTTGGATTTCTGTTTGAAGTGCTCTCCATCCTTCTTGTATCTGGTGCTTTTCTTTCGCTGTGATAAGACACCATGACCAAGGCAACTGAAGAAAGAGTTCATTTTGGGCTTATTGTTCCAGAGTGTTAGAGTCCATGATGGAGGGGGTTAGAGCACAAAGGTGGAAGTAGCAGGCAGCAGGTGACAGGAGCAGCAGCAGAGAGCTCATAAGCAGGAGGCAGAAAGAGCGCCCGGGAGGGTGGTGGCTTTTGTAATCTCAAGTCCATCTTGAGTGATATACTTCCTTCAACCAGGCCACAACTCCCAATTCTTTCCAAACAGTTACCAACTGTGGACCAAGTACTCAAATATCTGAGATGTATGGGGTGAGGCATCTCATCCAAAACTCTACACCTCATTATGTATTGTTCATTCCTTGGTCTTCTGGTGGCCACAAGAATGTTAACATCAGGGGCATTTGTGACAGACACATCAAGTATTCATTTGAAGGAAGAAGGAGGGAGAATCATAGTGACAGAGTGGATCTGAGATCCCTCCACCCTGTCGCTCATCTTAACTGAAGTAAGAAGAGAACTTTTATTATTTTAATTAAATAATTTAATAATCATTGAATTTGGAAGTTTCCCATTACCTTATGAACCTAGTAGTCTCAATTTGGGGTTATAACATTTATAGTAGAAGGAGAAGCTTGCTTAAACAACCTGTGACACAAGTTGTTCATGTGGGTCCCCAGAGGCCACTCCACTGCTAATATCAGACTTGACACGCTGCCTGGTCACAAGAAGCAACTGTGCACATCGCTTTTTATTAAATTGGCTTTCAGCATAGATTTACTTTTAAAAAAATACAGGGAAGGTGATTTGCTGATTTATTTATCTTTAGAAATACAATTAAATTTTGGAGAAGACAAGACAAGAAAGAACCCCAAAGACCCTAAAAAATATCTCAAGTGTAATTTTAAAATTATAGTGTTCCAAGAAAATGTGGCTGCAGATGGCTTCACAGGGCTTCTGTGAACACAGCCTTTAGGAGATATGCCGCATAGAGGACTGAAAACCACATACTGTAAACTGGGTTTTGTTTGGCCCCATGTCTGTGAGGCCTTATCATCTTCATTTACTCTCCCCACCAATTTTATATTACTGGGTAGTACACTCACCATATTCTGGCTGTTCTTTGGTTTCAAAAGTCCGGTGGCCTGGGGCTGGATGGTCCCACCCCCTAGGAACACTGAGGAAGTTGCTGTCATCTGAGGTACTGTCATACTTATAGTCCTGGTCCCCGCTGTTTGTCCTGGTCAAGGACAAGGACCTCTGCCACCAGGCTCGCCAGTCAGGAGCTGGGACTGACCAGCTGGGTTTATTCTCTGCCTGCTGATCTTTTTCTGCTTCAGAGTCAGGACCGTCGACCACTTCTATGGTGACCTGAGGGATTCAGAACAGGCCAGATCAATGACAAGTTGCTCAAGCTGGGAAGAAGGTCTGAGAGTGCTGGAGAAAAGGATGGCTGCATCCCTTGTGAAAGAAAGCTGCAGTTACATGGTGATAGAGAATGCAAGACATCCAGGAATGGCCCGCATGAACTCCATGACTAGAAGGAGTATGGCTTCAGATAGGCAAGAAGCTAGGCATGACTGGGTTCTTGGTTTACTAATAACGAAATTGTTGATAAGCCTTTCACTGAAGGAACACTGTCTGTGTTCCTCCTGTACCAAAATAACAGCCATAACAAAGCATAACTTGTTGATCAGGTGCCATATAAGGCACTGTTTTAAATGCTCTGTCCACATAACTTTATCCAATCCACATCCCTGTACATGTGCTACACACATTCCCCATCAATGGGTAGGGTCTATTTTCATTTCCTGTCATCTTGGCTGGCCTCATGAATCACTTGGTCCCATTGAATGGAAATGAGTGACACTGATGGGGTTGGGGGAGATGATTCAGGGAAGATTGGGGAGATGGATCAGTGGGTAAAGTTATCTGTTGAATAAGTGTGCAGACTGGGCTTCCAATCCTGAACACCTACATGAAAACCAGGTAAGGCATGGTGGCCTATTTGTAATCACAGCTCTTGGGAGCCAGAGACAGGGCATTCCCCAAAGAGAGCCGCCTAGCTTGATTAACTGAATTGGAGAACTCTGCGTTCAAGTGACAGACCCTGCCTCAATAGAGAAAGGTAGAAAATGATTGACAAAACACCCAACATTAACCTCTGGCCTCTGCACATACATGTACCTGAATATATAAGTGCACCCACTTGTATTTGAACATCTGTATACACATACACATACAGACACCAAATAAGTATACTGGAGGGTGTTGGAGCTTCTACTTTCTTTTCCTTCCAATGTTCTCTTAGATATGAGGAAGCCTAGCCTTGATCATTGCGTAGAGACAGGCCAGATAAAGAAAATGTGGAAGAAAACTGAGGCTAAGGACTCATGACTTACACTATTATGGATCTTTCAGTCCCAGTTGGGTCACCCTCAGTGATACCACATGAAACCTGAACAAACTCCCTTGGCTGAGTTCTACCATATTACTGTTCTAGAGGACCATGGGCAATCCAATGGTCATTGTTCCAAGCTACTGGGTATTGTGAGATTGTTACATGAGACAGCCTTTTATAGATTAGGGAAACTGGCACACAGATGCTAATGCGTGGCCAAAGGTCATAGGGCTAGGAAGTAGCAGATGAGGAGACTATGAGTTCAGAGCCCATATCCTTACCAACTTTGCCACCCTGCCTTTCAACAGTAACCTAAAGATATATGGCCCCATCACAAGATTGAGGGAGCAGAGAGGTCCAAGTATTAGGGGCAGGCTAGATGTTACAGGATTTGCACAGATGTGAGCACAAGGCTCTCAGGACAAGGCTTTTCCAGCTATGATATTTCACTCCTCCCAGCAGCAGGGTCAAAGCACATAGTCCCTGAGCTATCGTTAGAACTTGTTCTTTGGATTAGCGAAGCCTACTTTTGAAATCTGTCACAGGTCTGGAAGAACACAGCTTCTTGGCTCTGAGAGACAATCAGCATAGAAAAAAATTGTTTAAAAAATAATAAAAGACTCATCGGGTTCCTCTGGCCATCACATAGTTCTTGCAACACCTCCTGGAAGAGTTACATGAAAATGAATCAGAAACACGCACTCCAAGTAATCAGCGCAAGATGTACTGGGCAGATGTATTCCCGTTTTGCCCTGACCTGACATCTGAAGAGTTGTTGTGATTCCCTGCCAAATTACACTGGGGTGTGCCCATCCTTTAGATAAACAGCTTGGGGGGTTTTTGCATCATAATCAGTCTAACACTTAAAGAAGCTTCCAAGCCAACAGTGGTCCTGAGCCTGAGGTCTAGAGATGGACCAGAGGGTGACCTTAGAGCCCATAGTATATACTGAGGATGTATCAGGCTAAGTACATCTATCTCCTCTGTTGTGGGATGCCTAGAAGGGCATCAGGAACTTTAGCCCATATTGCCACCATTGCCTTAATTTGTGAGCAACACATAAAGGTTTTTATGTGATTCAGCTATAGTTTTAAGATTAGGAGAAGAAAAGAAATACAACATCCATGTTGTATCATTGTTGTTTGGTGGAATGGACAGTTGCTAGGGAATAATGACTACTAGGACCCACATGGAACTTTGAAAGGACTAGTGAATAAAGAGTACACCACTGGATGGCATATGTAAAACCACCATGGCAGGATGGGCAGGGCAGAGTCTTTGAATACTTAGCCTTTCTCCTTTGAAGCCCCATCCCCCTCTGCCTACAGATAGAACCACTGGGCTGCAACGATTGTCTGCAAGGATATTAAGGGTCTTGGAGGAGAGAGGCTGCCAAGAGCCAGGGGAGCCAGGCAAGCAGGCAATTATGGTAATGAAATCAGTCTCTGAGTAGAAGATAAGAGGACAACGTGCCCAACAGTTTCGATACTCCGCTTGTATTCAGACTGGAGTCAAAGGGATTGCTTCAACAAAATGTGCCCTGCAATTTCTCCAAGCTGGGAATAAAAACAATTTCATGTTTCAAGCTATTACCGTCAATACGATTTTTTTCCTCTCAAATTGCTGCTCAGATCCAAACAAAATAGAGTCCTTGCCTGTCGAGGCAATGGGTAGCAAAATAGGAATTTACTCCAAAAACTATATCAATGACTAAATCTCAACAGCTTCGAGGTTTCTTTCTTCTCTTTAATTTCTAGCCACTGCCCCAAATGAATTACAAAACAAAACAAAACACAAACAAATCTTAGGACCCACCCTTCCCCACAGTCAGCAATGTGGAAACCTCACACTGATATCAAAAGAAGAAATCTAATCTTGAACCTGAAATTTTATAGGCATCTAATTAAAAAGACGCAATGAGCATGGCAAATGCCTTCTCAAATGGCTGGGATTACTTTTCTGTTTCCTGTTTCCCTTGTTCTATTCGGGTATTTTAGAGTCAGGGAAACCACTGGAAAGGTCTCTTGAGCAATAAATGTGAATGTACTGCAGTTATGGAGTGAGTACAGTAAACTTGAAGCTGATAAAGACCCTGGATCTCTCCATCCTTTCTAGATCTATTATATATCCCTGAGGAACCTTATTACACCTAGCAAAAGAAAGAATATTCAAAAGCTCCAGAGCCAAGGCAAGACAGAATTTCCCAACTCCAAAGGGTAATGCAAAAATAGGTACCAATTCTGCCCCAAACTGGTAACCCTGTTCAGCTTTTTGTTGTTGTTGTTGTTGTTAAATACTTAAAACTTCTATTAGAACCAAACTCAATCTTGCTCTACAAAACAATTTCTGTAGCAAGACTAAGGCAGTCCCCACTCTAACTGCTAATGAGCTATGGCCACCGTGAATATATAAGCTGTGCTGTCACAATGAACCCAAGGGAGTTTTCTCCCTTGTTGCTCCACCGAGCTTTGTGAGCTGAATGGACTGGGTGGATGGATGTAGGTTAGAGTTTCCCAGACAGAAAAAGGATTCCCTCAAAAGCACAGAACAACTAGGAATATGTCTGTGGCAAAGGTTTCTGCTGCCTTTCTTCCTTGACAACTGTGGCAGAAAGAACACAAAATAGACCAGGAAGATATTCAATCCTCTTGTCTTAGACCTGCTGATGCTCCAAAGAAACTGTGGTATTCCCTACATAATTGCGGTTAGTGCATTGAGATTGTAGCCATGTGCCTGCCCAGATAGTATTGTCTGATCTACAAAATTTAGACTCAATTTTCAAGCACAAACTTGCCTTAGGGAAATTAACTTCCCGTGATAAATGGTGAAAAAAAAAAGTGTAGAGAGTTTCCAGGTAAATCTTCTGATTCTCAATTAATCTTTTAAAAAGTAATTTATCGCCCACCTTACCCAGTGTGTGTGTGTGTGTGTGTGTGTGTGTGTGTGTGTGTGTGTGTGTGTGTGTGTGTGTTTTGTATATTTTACATTTTTTCTATTTTTTGG